CGCGTGGGCGCGTTGCGCGCTCAGCCACATGGTCGACATGCTCCAACCACATGTTAACTTGGAGATGCAGTCGGTCACCTCTCAGGGCCACCTTCGTTCACAGGCCAACACGGCGGCCCTTCTTTTGTGGGTAACCCAAGATTCACGACTCGCGCTCGCGCGGTCGCGGGCGCGCGCGCGCGGTGGCGCTTTGTAAATCAAGCCACGTAACCGACACGCTACAAACTCATGCTAACTTCGAAATCCAATCGGTCACCGCTGAGGGGCCATTTGAGTTTCCAGGCCACAACATGGCGGCCCTTTCTAATGTGGGTAGCCCAGAAGTCACATCTCGCGCGCGCGGGCGCGTTGTACGCTAAGCCACGTGACCGACATGCTACAAGCCCATGTTAACTCGGAATACAATCAATCACCGTTAATTGGCCAATTAGATTTTCCATGCCAACATGGCGGCCGTTGTAGGGTGGAAAAAAATAAAGAGTTCACAGCTAGCGCGCGCGTGGGCGACGTGTACGCTGAGCCACCTGGCCGATACGCGACAACCCCCATGTTAACTCGGAAGTTCAATCGGTTACTGCGGAGGGGCCACTTGAGCTTCCATGCCAACATAAAGGACCCGATATTGCGGGTAGTACGGCTTTCAGAGCTCGCACGCGCCGGGGGGGGGCGCGCGCGCGCGGGCGCTATGTGCGTTCAGCCACATGCTACAAGCCCATGTGAACTCGGAATTCCAATCGGTCACCGCTCAGGGGCCACATGAGTTTCCAGGAGACAGCGGCCCTTCTATTCTGGGTAGTGCAGGATGCACAGCCCGCGCGCGCGTTGCGCGCTGAGCCACTTGGCCGACATGCAACAACCCCATGTTAACTTGGAAATCCATTCGGCCACCGCCACGGGGCCGCTTGAATTGCCAGGCCAGCACGGCGGTCCTCTGTCGTGGATGATACAGAGTTCACAGCTCGCGCCCGCGCGCGCGGGCGCGTTGTACGCTGAGCTACTTGGCCAACATGGCACAACCACATGCTAACTAGGATATTCAATCTTCTACCGCAACGGGCAACTTTTAGTTTCCAAGCAAACATAGCGGCCCTTCTGGTGTGGATAGTTCGTAAGTCACTGCTCGCGCGCGCGCGTGGGCGTCCTTTACGCTGAGCCACTTGTGCGACATGCTACAACCCCATGTTAAATTGAAAATCCAGTCGGCCATCGCTAGAGAGCCACTTGCGTTTCCAAGCCAATACGGCGGCCCTTCTGTTGTGAGCGATGCAGAGGTCACAACTCGCGCCCGCGCGCGCGAGGGTGCGTTGTAGCTGAGCAACTTGGCCGACATGCGGCAACCCTAGGTAAACTGGGAAAACCAATCGGCCACCGCTAAGGGGCCACTATGGCTTCCAGGCCAACATGACGGCCACTCTATGGCGTGCAATAAAGAATTTACAGCTTAATCGGCACGCTGCAAACTCATGGTTACTCGGAAATCGAATCAGCCAACGATAGGATTGCACTTCAGTTTCCAGGCAATCGTGGCGGCCCTTCTATTACGGGTAACCAAGTGATCCAGAAGTCGCAACTCGCGCGCGCGCGGGTGGGTGCGTTGAGCGCTGGACCACTTGGCCAACGTGCCACAAGCCAGTGCTAACCTGGAAATCAATCCGGGGTTCCAAACCAACACGGCGGCCCTTCTACTTTGGATCAGGGTTCGCAGCTCGCGCCCGCGCGCGCGCGGGCGCGTTGCGCGCTGAGCCACTTGGCTGACATGCTGGAAGCCACCGCAAAGGGGCTACTTGAGTGTGCAGGCCAACATGGCGGCCCTTCTACTGCGGGTAGCACGAAAATTCACAACTCGCGCGCGCGCGGGCGCGCGCGCGAGGCGCCTTGTACGCTGGGCAACTTGGCCGACATGCTACAAGCCCATGTTAAACATGGAAAATACCATCGGCCACCGCTAAGGGGCCACTTGAGTTCTCAGGCCAACGTGGCGGTATTTGCATTGCGGAGAATACAGGGTTCACAGCTCGCGCCTGCGCGCACAGGCGCGGGCGCTCTGTACGCTGCACAACTTAACCGGCATGCTACGACCTTTTGCTAACTTGGAAGTCCGTCGGTTACTGCTAAGGGGCCACTTAAGTTTCTAAGCAAACATGGCGGCCATTCTATTGTTGGTGATGCAGAATTCACATCTCGCGCGCGCGAGCGCAAGCGGGCGCGCGCGCGCGTGGGCCCGTTGTACGCTGAACCATTTAACCAAAACGCTACAAACTCGAGCTATCTCGGATATTCAATCGGTCACCGCTAATAGGCCGCTTGATTTCCCAGGCCAGCATGGCGGCCCTGCTATTGCGGGTAGAACTCACAGCTCGCGCGCGCGTGGGCGCGCTGTGCGCTGAGACACTTGGCCGACATGCTAGAAACCCATGTTAAATTGGAAAAAGAAATCGGCCACCGCTAAGGGGCTGCTTGAACTCCCAAGCCACCATGGCGGCCCTTCTGTTCTGGATAACGCAGAGTGGCGGCTCGCTCCCGCGCGCGCGGGCGACTTGCGCGCTGAGCCACTTGGCCGACGTGCTACATCCCCATGTCAATTTGACAATCCAGTCGGTCACCGCTGGGGGGCCACTTTAGTTTCCAGGGTAGCACGACTGCCCTTCTTTTGTGGATAACACAGAATTCACAGCTCGCGCCCGCGCGCGCGTGGGCGCGTTGCGCGCTGAGCCACTTCGCCGACGCGCTACAAACCCATGGTAAATCGGAAATCCAATCGGTTTCCGCCAGGGGACCACTTGAGCTTCCATGCCAACATTGCGGCACTTCTATTATAAGTGATACAGAATTCACAGCTCGCGCCGGCGCGCGCGCGCGGGCGCGTTGCGCGCTGAGCCACTTGGCTGGCGCGCTGCAGCCCCGCGCTACCTGGGACACCCATTCGGTCACCGCCCAAGAACCCCTTCGTTTCCAGGCCCCTTCGTTGCCAGACCGCTGAGAACAATGCAGAAATCACACCTCGCGCGCACGCGCGCGTGCGCGTTGTACGCTCGTCCTCCTCCTCCTCCTCCTCCTCCTCCTCCTCCTCCTCCTTCCTCCTCCTCCTCCTCCCTCCTCATCCCCCTCCTCCTTCTCCTCCCCCTCCTCTTCCTCCTCCTCCCCCCCAAAGCTTGCGCAGTCAATGTCATCATACTTCTGCTCGCCCCTTTCCTGCTTCTCCCGTCGCTCCCCCCTTCTTCCTTTTAGTCCTCGTCCTCCTCGTGTTCCCCCCCCCCGCCTCCCCCTCCCCCGCCTCCTCATCATTCTTCTGCGCCCTGCCTGTTTCGGCAAGGGCCGCGAATGTGCATTCACACCCGGGCGTGCCCAGGCTGACCCACGAAATTCAGTTTGACGGCTTCCCCATCAATTTCTCTTCGTTACACGGAATGTTCCCGCACTTCCCTGATCAAGACATTTCGCCTGGGTACTATTGCTGGGTGGACCGTGATGGATACGAACAGTAACGAAACCAACTACGCATCCAACCGCCAATGAAACTACACACGGAAAGCCCCACAAACATGTTTCGCACGTGGCGTTCATCGTGCAACAACACTTCCAGAAGGGCGAAAGAGGCGAAGCCTTCCCACAATAAAATCGCGATTTCTGAATTCAAGCACACACAGCCCTTCAGGGCAAAAACAACAACAAACCATAATTCTGGATTTTCCAAACCATGCCTTCGGACAAAAACGTAATTTTGAATATTACATTTTAGTTGTGCCCCCCGGCCTGGCTGTTAGCGTTTTTGGGTGGCCCCCCCTTCCTGTAGACGGCCCCCTCACTAAAGGAAGAGGAAGCGGAGGGAGGAGAAAGAGGAAAGGGAGGAGGAAGGAGGAGAAGGAGGAGGAGGAGGTGGAGGAGGAAGAGGAGGAGGAGGAGGGAGGATGGAGGAGGGAGGAGGGAGGAGGGAGGAGGGAGGAGGGAGGAGGGAGGAGGGAGGGAGGGAGGGAGGGAGGGAGGGAGGGAGGCAGGGGGAGGAGGAGGAAGAGGAGGAGGAGGAGAAGGAGGAGGAGGAGGAGGAAGAGGAGGAGGAGGAGGAGGAGGATGGAGGAGTGAGGAGGAGGAGGAGAGAGGGAGGAGGGGAGGAGGAGGAGGAGGAGAAAATGAGAAACGAGGAGGAGGAGGAGGAGGAGGAGGAGGAGGAGGAGGAAGGAGAGGAGGAGGAGGAGGGAGGCGGGGGGGAGGAGGAGGAGGAGGAGGAGGCCAGAGACGGAAGGAGGAGGGAGGAGGAGGAGGTGGAGGAGAGGTGAGGAGGCGGAGGAGGGGAAGGAGGAGGAGGAGGAGGAGGAGGACGGGGAGGGGGAGGAAGGAGGAGTTGGAGGGGCTCGGAAGAGAAGGCTGTGAGGATGAGGGGCAGGCTGGGCAACAACCACGCGCGCAAGAAAGGAGATCTCGCGGGGCTCCTCGCCCCGCCTGGGCCACCCAACCTCGCGCCCCGCGCCGCGCGACGTGCGACGCGCGGCCACCTTCGCAACCTCGCGCCGCCCCGGAATCGGAATGTCTCTCTGTATCGCTACGTGGCACGGGGAAGCTCCAAGGCCTCGGCGACAATTTCCTCGGCCGCCGCGCGGCTCAGCAGCCGGCCGCCCGGCAGGACGGCGTCCACCCGCCAGGCTCCGGGCCCCAGTCTGCCCGCGCGGTGGTCGGCCAGCAGCTGCTCGTAGATGTCCGCGAGGCGAGCGCCGGGCCCGGCCCAGGACCTGGAGCGCTCCGCCCCGCCAAAGGTCATGAAGCGCATCGTGTCGCCGTCCAGCGACGCCTGGAGGAGCATCGCCGGCAACAGGTGGGCCATGTAGGTGAGGCCCGCAGGCAGCGCCGGGAGGGCGCACTGGCCCTCATCATTCAAGCCGCAGGCCACGGCGGAGCCATCGCTCTTGAGCAAGACCGTGTGCCTCTCTCCAGCGGCGACCTGCGTGTAGGTGAGGCCCGCGGGCAGCGCTGGGAGGGCGCACTGGCCGTAATCATTCCAGCCGCAGGCCACGGCGGAGCCATCGCTCTGGAGCAGGACCGTGAGACTCATTCCAGCGGCGACCTGCGTGTAGGTGAGGCCCGCAGGCAGCGCCGGGAGGGCGCACTGGCCGTAAGCATTCCAGCCGCAGGCCACGGCGGAGCCATCGCTCCGGAGCAGGACCGTTTTGCCTCTCTCCAGCGGCGACCTGCGTGTAGGTGAGGCCCGCGGGCAGCGCCGGGAGCTCGCACTGGCCGTAATGATTCCAGCCGCAGGCCACGGCGGAGCCATCGTTCTTGAGCAAGATCGTGTGCCTCTCTCCAGCGGCGACCTGCATGTAGGTGAGGCCCGCGGGCAGCGCCGGGAGCTCGCACTGGCCCTCGTCATTCTCGCCGCAGGCCACGGCGGAGCCATCGCTCCGGAGCAAGACCGTGTGCCTCTCTCCCGCCGAAAGCATCCGCGAGGGCCGGCCGCGGGCAGCTGGAGGCGGTTCGCGGACAGCGGGGCGCGAGAGCTCGAGCCGGGAACGGTCGCGCTCAAGACGACCAACGGCCATCCCCAGGCGACCGGGAGGTCCCGACGGGTCCCCTGCGCTACGTGTGGGTACTACGGCAGGCTAGTGTCGTGGCGACTTGCGCGTTGGTTTCTCACACCGCGTGCTCTGATAGCGCGAATCGGTCGATGTCGGCCGATTCTAGGCCACTGGCGGCTTTCAGCCTTCAACGCTCGCGCCTGAGTCACCGCCGCCACCACGTACCGTCTCTGCCGGTCTCTACTGCCAATGTGCAGCGGTGTACCCGGTCTCTCTGGTACAGTTCTTTCGCACCCATGGCCAACAATGCCAGTTGCGTTTTCAAAAAATGCGTACCCGTGGCTCGATGAAATCGGGGATGTGCTCCACGTAGTGAGACCAACCGGCGCGTCTCGCCCAGCGAGGGCCACATGTCTGGATCCGAGTCCGTTTCTCTTCGGTGCGTCTCCTCCCCTCCTCCTCCTCCTCCTTTCCCATCCTCCTCCTTCCCCTTCCTCCTCCTCCTTCCCCTCCTTCTCCTCCTCCTTTCCTCCTCCTCCTCCTCCTTCTCCTCCTCCTCATTCCCCGTCCTCCTCCTGCGCACACCTCGCCACTACACAGCAGCCCTTCTGATTGTTTGTTGGACCAGGGCGCAGCCGAACTTGTTTGGACCGGGGAGCAGCCGAACTTCCTGGAACGCAAGCGCCCCTTCTAGACCAGAGCGGAGGGGGCCGAGCGGTCTTACGCCGTCCCCGGTTGGAAGCCGCGGTGCATGTTGCTTCTGCCGTTTGTTGTTGTCGTCGTCACCCCCCGCACCGCGCCGCGACCCACGCGCGGCCCGCCGCACCCGCGACTCGCCTGGGACCCGTCCACGCCGCGACCCACCCGCGCCGCGACCCACCCGCCGCAGTGCTTCACCCAAGCCGGCGCCCTCCGGCGGGGCGACCCGCCCGCCTTCCCTCCGGCGGAGAAGTCGGCGCCCACGGCTGGCTGGTCTGCACTGGCCTTGGAGGGCGCCGGTTGTGTGCGCCCCAGCCCTGGCGCCCCCTCGCTCTCGGCCGAAGCGCCGGGTCGCCGAAGGATGGGCTCCGAGGGCTCCAGGGGCGCCCCCTCCAGAGACACAGACTGCGCAGACATACGCACGCAGATCAACCCCCGACCCCCCACCCCGGAAAAAAAGAAACGCGCCGCGGAACAGTGCAACAGTGCAAACATCGCGCCCGGATATCTCTGGGCCCAAGATTCCTGGGACACTCCTCGGGCCTGACCGAACCGTGAGGGCCCACCAGGGTCTGAGCTCGGTGCCACAAGCACACATCGGCCAAGACGAGGGATACAGGCAAACACACGGAGACATCCGGCCCTGGACCCCTCCCGGGGCCCATCTGGTGCAATTTGTTTCACCCCAGATCCGTCTCTGCCGGCCCAGGCCCGAACCCGGCCTCCAGAGACAGACGAGGACAACGAACCTTCCCGAGCCCAGAACCTCGAACCTGACCCGCTCCCCCTTGCCTGCAGGCCAGGACCAGTGTTAAGTCGGGTGTGCCCCCCTCCAGGGGGATCTTCGACGAAATATTAAAAGTACGACACAAATGCTCCCAAATTGCCAACAATTGCTCAAAATATTCATATATATATATATATGGATTAAACTATGTTTGAAGATTCCCCCTGTAGAAGGACAGGCCCGACTTGAGACCAGTGCCGGGCCACCGCAACCCCCCCGCAAGCCCCAGCGGGCAACCGCGGGCGCCACGGCAGCAGAACGCGTGCGGCCCCAGGGCCTGTGGAGGCCTCGCGCGCGGACCTCTCGGGGGGCCCCCTGGCGGGGTCTCCAGCCATGTAGGCCTGGACCTCTAAGGGAGGAGGAGGAGGAGGAGGAGGAGGAGGAGGAGGAGGAGGAGGGAGGAGGAGGAGAAGACAGGAGGAGGAGGAGGAGGAGGAGGAGGAGGAGTGGAGGAGGAGGAGGCAGGAGGAGGAGGAGGAGGAGGAGGAAGGAGGAGGAAGGAGGAGGAGGGGAGGTGGAGGAAGGAGGAGTTGGGGGTTCGGAAGAGAAGGTCGTGAGGATGAGGGGCAGGCGGGGCAACAACCACGGCGCAGAAAGGAGATCTCGCGGGGCTCCTCGCCCCGCCTAGGCCACCCAACCTCGCGCCCCGCGCCGCGCGACGTGCGACGCGCGGCCATCTTCGCAACCTCGCGCCGCCCCGGAATCGGAATGTCTCTCTGTATCGCTACGTGGCACGGGGAAGCTCCAAGGCCTCGGCGACAGTTTCCTCGGCCGTCGCGCTGCTCAGCAACTGGCCGCCCGGCAGGACGGCGTCCACCCGCCAGGCTCCGGGCCCCAGTCTGCCCGCGCGGTGGTCGGCCAGCAGCTGCTCGTAGATGTCCGCGAGGCGAGCGCCGGGCCCGGCCCAGGACCTGGAGCGCTCCGCCCCGCCAAAGGTCATGAAGCGCATCGTGCCGCCGTCCAGCGACGCCTGGAGGAGCATCGCCGGCAACAGGTGGGCCATGTAGGTGAGGCCCGCGGGCAGCGCCGGGAGCTCGCACTGGCCGTAATCATTCCAGCCGCAGGCCACGGCGGAGCCATCGCTCTTGAGCAAGACCGTGTGATCCCCTCCAGCGGCGACCTGCGTGTAGGTGAGGCCCGCGGGCAGCGCCGGGAGCTCGCACTGGCCCTCGTCAATCCAGCCGCAGGCCACGGCGGAGCCATCGCTCCGGAGCAGGACCGTGTGCCTCGCTCCAGCGGCGACCTGCGTGTAGGTGAGCCCCGCGGGCAGCGCCAGGAGGGCGCACTGGCCCTCGTCATTCCAGCCGCAGGCCACGGCGGAGCCATCGCTCTGGAGCAGGACCGTGTGCCTCGCTCCAGCGGCGACCTGCGTGTAGGTGAGGCCCGCGGGCAGCGCCGGGAGCTCGCACTGGCCGTGAGCATTCCAGCCGCAGGCCACGGCGGAGCCATCGCTCTGGAGCAGGACCGTCGTGTAGGTGAGGCCCGCGGGCAGCGCCGGGAGCTCGCAGCGGCCGTTATCATTCCAGCCGCAGGCCACGGCGGAGCCATCGCTCTGGAGCAGGACCGTGTGCCACGCTCCAGCGGCGACCTGCGTGTAGGTGAGGCCCGCGGGCAGCGCCGGGAGCTCGCACTGGCCCTCATCATTCAAGCCGCAGGCCACGGCGGAGCCATCGCTCTTGAGCAAGACCGTGTGATCCCATCCAGCGGCGACCTGCGTGTAGGTGAGGCCCGCGGGCAGCGCCGGGAGCTCGCACTGGCCCTCGTCAGTCTCGCCGCAGGCCACGGCGGAGCCATCGCTCCGGAGCAGGACCGTGTGCCTCCCTCCCGCCGAAAGCATCCGCGAGGGCCGGCCGCGGGCAGCTGGAGGCGGTTCGCGGACAGCGAGGTGCGAGAGCTCGAGCCGGGAGCGGTCGCGCTCAAGAGGACCAACGGCCATCCCCAGGCGACCGGGAGGTCCCGACGGGTCCCCTGCGCTACGTGTGGGTACTACGGCAGGCTAGTGTCGTGGCGACTTTCGCGTTGGTTTCTCACACCGCGTGCTCTGATAGCGCGAATCGGTCGATGTCGGCCGATTCTAGGCCACTGGCGGCTTTCAGCCTTCAACGCTCGCGCCTGAGTCACCGCCGCACCCTACCGTGCCGTTCTCTCCTGTCTCTCCTGCCAATGTGCAGCGGTGCCCCCCCGCGTCTCTCTGGTACAGTTCTTTCGCACCCATGGCCCAAACTGCCATTTGTCGTTTTCAAAAACTGCGTACCCGCTGGCTCGATGAAATCGGGGATGTGCTCCCGTCGTTGAGACTGGCGCTCTCGCTCCAGCGCGGGCCACATGTCTGGATCCGAGTCGTTTCTCTTCGGTTCTTCTCCTCCTCCTCCTCCTCCTCCTCCTTTCCCATCCTCCTCCTTCCCCGTCCTCCTCCTCCTTCCCCTCCTTCTCCTCCTCCTTTCCTCCTCCTCCTCCTCCTCCTCCTCCTCCTCCTCCTCCTCCTCCTTCCCCGTCCTCCTCCTTCGCACACCTCGCCACTACACAGCAGCCCTTCTGATTGGTTGTTGGACCAGGGCGCAGCCGAACTTGTTTGGACCGGGGAGCAGCCGAACTTCCTGGAACGCACGCGCCCCTTCTAGACCAGAGCGGAGGGGGCCGAGCGGTCTCTTACGCCGTCCCCGGTTGGAAGCCGCGGTGCATGTTGCTTCTGCCGTTTCTTGTTGTCGTCGTCACCCCCCGCACCGCGCCGCGACCCACGCGCGGCCCGCCGCACCCGCGACTCGCCTGGGACCCGTCCACGCCGCGACCCACCCGCGCCGCGACCCACCCGCCGCAGTGCTTCACCCAAGCCGGCGCCCTCCGGCGGGGCGACCCGCCCGCCTTCCCTCCGGCGGAGAAGTCGGCGCCCACGGCTGGCTGGTCTGCACTGGCCTTGGAGGGCGCCGGTGGTGTGCGCCCCAGCCCTGGCGCCCCCTCGCTCTCGGCCGAAGCTTCGGGAGGCCAGGTGCGCGTGGCAGGGGCCGGGTGGCCGAAGGATGGGCTCCGAGGGCTCCAGGGGCGCCCCCTCCAGAGACACAGACTGCGCAGACATACGCACGCAGATCAACCCCCGTCCCCCCCCCCCGGAAGAAAAGAAACACGCCGCGGAACAGTGCAACAGTGCAAACATCGCGCCCGGACATCTCTGGGCCCAAGATTCCTGGGACACTCCTCGGGCCTGAC